TTCACCATGTTGACCAGGATGGTCTCGATCTCTTGACCTCGTGATCCACCCGCCTCGGCCTCCCAAAGTGCTGGGATTACAGGCTTGAGCCACTGCGCCCGGCTTAAATGTAGGTTTTAAATTCATTTTAGTCAATTTATTTTGAAGCCTCCATTCTCTTTTAGGTCAGGGATTACCCTGTCTTTTTTTTTTTTTTGAGATGAAGTCCTGCTCTGTCCATCAGGCCAGAGTGCAGTGGTATGATCTTGGCTCACTGCAACCTCTGACTCCCTGGTTCAAGCTATTCTCCTGCCTCAGCCTCCCAAGTAGCTGGGATTACAGGCATTTGCCACCAAGCCCAGCTGTTTTTTGTATTTTTAGTCCAGATGGGGTTTTACCGTGTTTCCAGGATGGTCTTGATCTCCTGACCTGGTGATCCATTTGCCTCGTTGGCCTCCCAAAGTGCTGGGATTACAGGAGTGAGCCACTGCCTGTTTTTTTTTTTTTTTTTTTTTTTTTGAGACAGTGTTTCACCATGTTGCCAAGGCTGGTCTCAAACTGCTCGGCTCACATAGTCTGTCCACCTCGGCCTCCCATAGTGCTGGGATGACAGCTGTGAGCCACCATGCCCGGTCCTGTTTGGTTTCTATGTCCTTTCATGTGCACTTTGTCTTTTTGAACTTTCTTTTTCCTTTTTTTTGAGACAGAGTTTCGCTCTTGTTGCCCAGGTTGGGGTGCGATGGTGTGATCTCAACTCACTTCAACCTCCACCTCCTGGGTTCAGGCAACTCTCCTGCTTCAGCTTCCCAAGTAGCTGGAACTACTGGCATGTGCCACCATGCCCGGCTAGTTTTGTATTTTTAGTAGAGATGGGGTTTTTCTGTGTTGGTGAGGCTGGTCTCAAACTCCTGACCTCAGGTGATATGCCTGTCTTAGCCTCCCAAAGTGCTGGGATTACAAGCGTGAGCCACCATGCTCAGCTGTTCATCTTTAATCTTAATTTATTTTTAAATTTTATGTTCATTTTTTGGAGACAGGGTCTCACTCACCCAGGTTGGAGTGCTGTGGCACAACCGTGAACTGGTCTCTAGCTCCTGGGCTCAAGCAGTCCTCCAGAGTACTTTGGTTTCACAAAGTGCTGGGATTACAGGTGTGTGCCACCATGCCCAGTCAGTGTCTGCACATTTTTTTTTTTTGTGAGACGGAGTTTCGCTCTTGTTACCCAGGCTGGATTGCAATGGCGCGATCTCGGCTCACCGCAACCTCCGCCTCCTGGGCTCAGGCAATTCTCCTGCCTCAGCCTCCTAAGTAGCTGGGATTACAGGCACGCGCCACCATGCCCAGCTAAATTTTTTTGTATTTTTAGTAGAGACGGGGTTTCACTATCTTGACCAGGATGGTCTCGATCTCTCGACCTCGTGATCCACCCGCCTCGGCCTCCCAAAGTGCTGGGATTACAGGCTTGAGCCACCGCGCCCGGCACGTGTCTGCACGTTTCTAAGCTGACATCTGTGAAAGCTGAGGGCAGGATGAAATTAGAGGCTGCTGTGGGTCAGGGTAAGGGATACTGATGCTGTTAAAGATAGAGAACAGTGAATGCATTTGAGGTTATTTCAGAGGTAGACTCGGCAGGACTTTGTGATTAATTTGTGTCTGTGCTGAGTGTAGTTGGCGAAGGTGAACGTTTCAGAGTCAGGCACCTTGGACTTCAAGGTAGAATTTACTAGAAAAAGACCAGGTGTGTATGGAGTGGGGAGGATTAAGAGTTAAATTTTGGTTGTGTTCTATTTGGGGTGTCTCCTGGACATCCAAGTGGCTGTGTCAAATAGTCATCTGTCTATTTGTGTCTGAAGTGCGCAGGAGAGGCCTGAGTTTGGAGCTAACATTTGGGACTCATTGCTAAATCAGTGATTTTTACATAATGGGAACGGGTGAAAACCCCTATGTAGGAGGAGAGTTGGCTTTGAGCTTTTAGCGTTTCCGCAGTTTCTTCAGCAGGCTAGTAGAGGGGCAAAAGCTGGTGATGGGAGGCAGAGAGAAGTCAGACAAGGAGAGCTGGGAAACGTCTGGGGTGGTGCCGTGGGTTTTTTACTGACCTTACAGAAGAGTGAGTGTCAAGTGGCAGGCAGTGGCGGAGCCGCTGCAGGACTGGGGAGGAGCCCAGGCAGGAAGTGGAGCAGGCGAGGGTAGGCAGTGCAGGAGGAGTGCAGAGGCGAGAGCATCTACTGCGGGGGCTGGCTCTCGGTACTGCCTTACGCTTTTACGTTTAGTAAGAAAACCAGCCATTTGATGAAGTGCCACTTGAGTACCAGGTGCTGTTAGTGGTTGCTGCACCTGTGTGACAACAGGCTTTCAGCGAGTGTTTTTGTTGAAGTAAATCACAGCATTCACCAGCTGGCGATGCGACCCCAGCCCTCACCTCTGTCCTTGCTGTCTCGGGGTGTCTTTCTTCTGTTACCGCCACCACATGCACAAACCCAGGCACGTGCGTGCGGACGGAAGATGAGCTGTTTGGACTTGCAAGGGCCTGTATGCTTGGCGTATGGCACACTAAATGGCCTCTTGCTGTATGTGCTTAGAGGGGATGATTCAGATGCCTGGCATTGGAAGATTGGTACTGAGATTTCTGCTCTGGTTCTGTTAGAGTGGATTAACAGCTTCCCCCTCTGTTGTTTCTGTTAGGTACTGCCGCTGGCGTCACTTCCAAAATGCCACCTCAGATCCTTGGCAGCAAACCAGAGCTCGAGTGAAAATAACCTTGCCTAGTCACTCAGCTTAGAGAGTGAGGGAATGAGGGAGTGGGGGAGACTTAAAGAAATGCTGGCCCTCCTGCTGCTTGTTGGCTGCCCCGCTTTGTGTGCTGTGGCTGATGGGCAGGTTTTTAGTTCCTGAAAGATAGCAGATTGCAGTGTTCTCTACTTCCGGGAATGGACTCCTGTCTTTTCTACGTAGGCTGGTAGGACTGGTGTGGTTTGAATCCTTTATGCTGCTGTGTCATTCTAACTACCAGGGAGGAAGCCTTTCAAAATTGGGTGTTCCTTTACCGTGCAACTTACTACACAAAAGAGTCTCTGATGTTCTATACTGAATATTCCAAATGGAGTGGAAAGAACTGTGTAGTGGTATACCCGTAGGCACATTCTCCAATTAATATTTTATCTTTGCTTAGTTACGTATCCAGTAATACTGATAACGTAACGTTGGAATAACTGAAAGAAAACAACCATACAGTTTATTTCTAAGTTGTAAATGGTTTATTTTTTATTTTTTATTTATTTTTAAAACGGAATCTCTCTTTGTAGCCCAGGCTGGCTGGAATGCATTGGCATGATGTCAGCTCATTGCAACCTCTGCCTCCTGGGTTCAAACGATTCTCCTACCTCAGCCTCCTGAGTAGCTGGGATTACAGGCGCGGGTCACCATGCCCAGCTAATTTTTGTATTTTTAGTAGAGACGGGGTTTCACCATGTTGATGAGGCTGATCTTGAACTCCTGACCTCCTGATCCGCCCGCCTCGGCCTCCCTAAGTGCTGAGATTACAGGCATGAGCCACCGCATCCGGCCCTAAATTCTGTGTATCTTGTAGTTGACATATTAAACTTGTAACACCCGGGCCGGGCGCGGTGGCTCACGCCTATAATCCCAGCACTTTGGGAGGCCGAGGCGGGTGGATCACAAGGTCAAGAGATCGAGACCATCCTGGTCAACATGGTGAAACCCCGTCTCTACTAAAAATACAAAAAATTAGCTGGGCATGGTGGCGTGTGCCTGTAATCCGAGCTACTCAGGAAGCTGAGGCAGGAGAATTGCCTGAACCCAGGAGGCGGAGGTTGCGGTGAGCCGAGATCGCGCCATTGCACTCCAGCCTGGGTAACAAGAGTGAAACTCCGTCTCAAAAACAAAACAAAACAAAACAAAAAAACAAATAAAACTTGTAACACCTAGAATCTTGGCTCTAATGTATTTGAAGATGTGCATTCTTTTCTAAATTTGATGTTCCATTAAATTGATAACGTAGTTTATATACATCCAAGTATATTGTGATTTCATTATAGAGTTTTAGGTTTGGGCCTGGTGCGGTGGCGCGTGCTTCTAGTCCCAGATACTCCGGAGGCTGAGATGGGAGGATAACTTGAGCCCAGGAGTTCTGGGCCATAGTGTGCTATGCCGATCGGGTCTGCACTAAGTTCGGCATCAATATGGTGACCTCCTGGGAGCTGGGGACCAGCAGGTTGCCCAGGGTGGGGCAAACCGGCCCATGTCAGAAACGGAGCAAGTCAAAACTCCCGGGCTGCTGATCAGTAGTGGGATCACGCCTGTGAATAGCCACTGCACTCCAGCCTGGGCAACATAGCAGGAACTTGTCTCTTAAAAAAAAGTTTTAGGTTTGAGCCTCCCCCCCACCTCCCCCAGTCTCACTCTGTTGCCCAGGCTGTAGTACAGTGGCGTTATCTTAGCTTATTGCAGCCTTCGCCTCCCGGGTTCAAGCGATTCTCCTGCCTCAGCCTCCTGAGTAGCTGGGATTACAGGCCTGTGCTACCACGACTGGCTCATTTTCATTAGTAGAAAGGGGATTTCACCATGTTGGTTGGGCTGGTCTCTAACTTCTGACCTTGTGATGTGCCTACCTAAGCTCCCAAAGCGCTGGGATTAGCAGGTGTGAGCTATTGCACCTGACCTGTTTTATTTTTGAGACAGTCTCACTCTGTCGCCCAGGCAGTTGGTGTGATCTCCATTTACTGTCTCAACTTCCACTCACTCTGTTTTGCTTGGAGTGCAGTTGGTGTGATTTCCGTTTACTGCAACTTCCATCTCCTGGGTTAGAAGGGTCTGAGATGAATCTGGGAAACAGCTTCCAGACAAGGTCTTTCAGCACGCTAGTGGTTGGCTAGTGGAAGTTCCCTCTGTAGGGCCAGTAGGTGCTGAAGTGATACCACCCCCTCCCTCTGCACACCCGCCCCACCGCTGTGACCTGCCCATGCGCGGCAATGTCGTTACTGACCACCTGTTTTTACTTGCAGGACCTGTTACAGCAACCTCTTGAAACATGGTGGATTACTATGAAGTTCTAGGCGTACAGAGACATGCCTCACCCGAGGATATTAAAAAGGCGTAAGTAATTTTATTTCTGAGGTAATACATCTGCACAGTGATACATTGGTAATTGAGTAGCGTAACTTTTTCTGTTGCCTATGAAAATGGCTTTTAATGTAGTATGTAACAGTCTGAATGCTGCCACATAGTTTAATCGGACAGCAATTAGTAAGGAACATTTGCAGTCTAGGTCTGGGCTTTGCCCTTCATTAGTCATTCACTTGGTTTCTGTTGAAGTCGATTAAAAAGTTACTGAGGATGTGACATCATCACAAACATCTTTTACATTGGACTTTGAGATGGAGCTGACTTGGTACTCCTGAGTACCCTTTCCCAGGTAGGGGCCCAGAGTAGAGCACTGAATTTTTTTGGTGTGATTGTTGGGCTCCAGCCTATGCTGTTGGAGTCCCTTCTGATGCACATGAAAGTTTGAAAGCTGCACCACTGCCTGTTAGACCAGCATCTGTATGACCTGGGCCTGGCTAACGTGAGGAGGGCAGTTCCAGCCACAGAAGGCTCTCATGGTAATCTGAGTCTGTTTAATTTAATGAGGTGTCAACTCTAAATGTAACGTGTGAAGCAAAGAAGTCATGAAATAGATAATGTTAGATTTTAACACAACTAGAGAGCAGTTAGCTGGAATAGTTGGAACCAGCTTTTAAAAAAAATAGATAATAAATAATGAAGTCCATACTACTAGACTTAGTGGGTCTGAAGATAGAATTAACTTTTCTGGGGGCAGATAGTTGATTTTGCTTCATTGTTTTTTTATTTTTATTTTTATTTTTATTTTTATTTTTATTTTTTTGAGACAGAGTTTCGCTCTTGTTACCCAGGCTGGAGTGCAATGGCGCGATCTCGGCTCACCGCAACCTCCGCCTCCTGGGTTCAGGCAATTCTCCTGCCTCAGCCTCCTGAGTAGCTGGGATTACAGGCATGGCCACAATGCCCAGCTAATTTTTTGTATTTTTAGTAGAGACGGGGTTTCACCATGTTGACCAGGATGGTCTTGATCTCTTGACCTCGTGATCCACCTGCCTCGGCCTCCCAAAGTGCTGGGATTACAGGCTTGAGCCACCGCGCCCGGCCGATTTTGCGTAATTGTTAATTTCAATTAAAAAACCAAAAACCGAGTCTCACTATGTTGCTCAGGCTGGTCTCAAACTCCTGGGCTCAAGCGATCCTCTCGCCTTGGCCTCCCAGATTGCTGCAATTATAGATGTGAGCTACTGTGCCTTAGCTGAGATAGTTCATTTTAAAATGCTGAAGTTCTGAGTGCAATGACTCCCGCCTGTAATCCCAGCACTTTGGGAGGCCGAGGCAGATCACCTGAGGTCACGAGTTGAGACCAGCCTGGCCAACATGGCGAAACCCCATCTCTACTAAAAATACAAAAAGCTGGGTGTGGAAACACGTGACTGTAATCCCAGCTACTCAGGAGGCTAAGGCAGGAGAATCACTTGAACCCAGGAGGCAGAGGTTGCAGTGAGCCAAGATCATGCCACTGCACTCTAGCCTGGGTGACAGAGCGAGACTCCATCTCAAAAAAAAAAAAATAAAATAAAATAAAATGCAAATTACGGCCAGGTAAATGGCTCATACCTGTAATCCCAGCACTTTGGAAGGCCTAGGTGGGAGGGTCACTCAAGCCCAGGGGTTTGAGACCAGCCTGGGCAACAAAATAAGATACTGTCTTTACAAAAAATAAAATAAAATAGTTGGGCATGGTGCTATATGCCTGTAGTCCCAGCTCCTCCAGAGGCTGAGACAGGAGAATTGCTTGAGCTCAGGAGGTTGAGGCTGCATTGAGCCGTGTTCATGCCATTGCACTCTGGCTTGGGTGACCGAGCCAAGACACTTTGTCGAAGCCAAGTCCGGCTGACTGCTGCTGGGCAGAGCTGATGTTGCTTGCAGAGTCTGTGAAACCTCTGCCAAGGAACCTAGTAGAAGCAGCCCACTGAGGAGAGGCCAGGCAGACCCTGCTGCTGTCAGCAGTGGAGTGAGGTTTTCCACACTTGTGAGGAAGCCCGTGCTGCACACCATAGGCCCACACTGTTCTTATCAATAGTGTCAACAGCCAGTGATACTTGACAGGTCATAGAATGAAGACAGCTGGAAATACTTTACTCCTCTTGAATAAGTTAATGCATGTATTAGTCCATTTTTATGCTGTTGATGAAGACATACCTGAGACTGGGAAGAAAAGGATGTTTAAGGCCGGGCGCAGTGGCTCAAGCCTGTAATCCCAGCACTTTGGGAGGCCAAGGCGGGTGGATCACGAGGTCAAGAGATCGAGACCATCCAGGCCAACATGGTGAAACCCCGTCTCTACTAAAAATACAAAAAATTAGCTGGGCATGGTGGTGTGTGCCTGTAATCCCAGCTACTCAGGAGGCTGAGGCAGGAGAATTGCCTGAACCCAGGAGGCCTCGGAGGTTGCAGTGAGCTGAAATCGCGCCATTGGACTCCAGCCTGGGTAACAAGAGTGGAACTCCGCCTCAAAAAAAAAAAAAAAAAAAAAAAAAAGGATGTTTAATTTGATTTACACTTCCACATGCAGGGAAGTTAATCATGGCAGAGGGTGAAAGGCACTTTTTACATGGTGGCAGCAAGAGAGAATGAGGAAGAAGCAAAAGTGGAAACCCCTGAGAAACCCATTAGATCTTGGGAGATGTACTCCGTGGGAATAGCACGGGAAAGACCAGCCCCTATGATTCAGTTACCTCCCCCTGGGTCCCTCCCACAACATGTGGGAGTTCTGGGAGATAGAACTGGAGATTTCGGTGGGGACACAGCTAAACCTTATCAGTGGATAAACTGTTAATACTTGCACAGTACTTTCAGTAAGTGATGGAAATTATATACCTTTATGATGGTTTGCAGTGGCACAATCTTGGCTCACTGCAACCTTGGCCTCCTGAATTCAAGCGATTCTCCTGCCTTAGCCTCCTGAGTAGCTGGGATTACAGTCACGTGCTTCCACACCCAGCTTTTTGTATATTTAGTAGAGATGGAGTTTCGCCATGTTGGCCAGGCTGGTCTCAACTCGTGACCTCAGGTGATCTGCCTCGGCCTCCCAGAGTGCTGGGATTACAGGCGTGAGCCACTGCCCCTGGCCTTTTTTTTAGTATTTTAATGACATGCAATTATTTAGCCATTGGAACTCTGCAACTGACTATGACTTTAGTCATAGAATCTTTGTAGAAGTTCGTGTTTTAACTCTTGTTTAGATCTTGAATCTGGCACAGAGGGCTGTTGGAAAGATCTTGCAATCTTGACCTGTTTTGTGGCAGGTGACTCACCTTGGGCACACAGGTCAGCTGAGTAGTGGGCTGGCTGACAAAGTAGGGTCCTTGGAATCCGAACATGGAAGGATAGGGATGGTGATGTTGGATCCTACTGCTGAGTGACGCAGGCCTTTCCTTCCATGCTTGCTCAGTCTCCTCACTGTCAGGCCATCTTGTGGACACCGTGATCTTTGTTTTTCTCTCTTCAGAGGTTTGTATTACGCTATCAGGATTTTGTTTTTTATGCTTATTTAATGAGTGTTTTTACAATTGTAATTTTGAGACAGGGTCTTGTTCTGTTGCCCGGGCTGGACTGCAGTGGTGTGATCATAGCTTACTATGAGTTCATTACGTTAGTTTCAAAAACATAGTTGATTTCTGGATTTAGACTGTGGTAAGTGTCCTTCGTTCTTTCCAAGATACCGGAAACTGGCACTGAAGTGGCACCCAGATAAAAATCCCGAGAACAAAGAAGAAGCAGAGAGAAAGTTCAAGCAAGTAGCAGAGGCCTATGAGGTGCTGTCAGACGGTGAGTGACACTGGGCTGCCTAAGGGCTCTGAGCTGTCCCGCCGGGGTGCGGAGCAGGTGTGGGAGCCTCCTCAGGGCTGGCACGGTATGGATCAAGTGACTTGTTAATGCCAGCTGGATTTTGGGCCCCCTGAATGTCTTTATTTTTTTTGGTGAAGATTTGACTTGGTGTAGGTCACTGCAAGGGCTGAGGAGCACGAGGGCTTCTAGCAGTTTCTCTTAGGATGGCTGTTTTCTTTTTTTAATTCTTTTGCTCACCTTTAACTGTCTTGATTGAGTTATAAGGATGGCTGTTTTCTTTTTTTTTTTTTTTTTTTTTTTTTTTTTTTTTTTGAGACAGAGTTTCGCTCTTGTTACCCAGGCTGGAGTGCAATGGCGCGATCTCGGCTCACCGCAACCTCCACCTCCTGGGTTCAGGCAATTCTCCTGCCTCAGCCTCCTGAGTAGCTGGGATTACAGGCACACGCCACCATGCCCAGCTAATTTTTTTGTATTTTAGTAGAGATGGGGTTTCACCATGTTGACCAGGATGGTCTCGATCTCTTGACCTCGTGATCCACCCGCCTCGGCCTCCCAAAGTGCTGGGATTACAGGCGTGAGCCACTGCGCCCGGCAGGGATGGCTGTTTTCAAACAGGACTAGCCACTCTGGGTCTGATGAACCCAGGAGAAAGGAGGTTGCAGGACTCAGGCCACTGTGCGTGTGCTGTGCCTGCCCCGTTGTTGTGTGTGATCCTTCTGACCTTGCTCACCCCATGGGCTTAAACAGTACTGAGCCAGTGGAGTCAGCTTTACTGCTTCAGAGGACGTCTCAGGTTCACAAAAAGAGGGGATGGAACATACAGTTAAAATTTAGATTTCAGATTTCAGGCCTGTCTTCCCCACTTAGGTCTGGAGCAGAGGTGGTGTATGTTACTGGAAGCCTTATCCATTGGCCTGGTTCACACGTGGGTGAGGGGTCAGAGGTCTCTTGTCACCTAGCCAGGGTTGCATGGGGCCTGGGGTTGGCGGGGAGCAGTGGCATAAGTGGAAAGCCACACGATGCCCGGTCAGCTGCAGAGGCAGTTTACAAAGCTAGGGATGGATTAACTGGAGCCTGGAAGTATGGGCACCGGGTTAAGTGTGTCTGAATATGGTCAGGTGATCGGCCCTTATTTACAACAAATTTTTTCTTTTTTTAAAAGAAGGAACCCAATGTAAGTTTGCCAGCTTCAACAGTTACCAGCCTGTCTTTCTCTGCTGACACTATCACCCACCTCTTTGTTTTAGAGGAAATCCCAGATACTTTACTTCAAAAATGTGAAAAGGCATAAAACACTGATATTTGGAATCTTCATGAAATGTGGCATTTAAGGTCATGAGCTGTTGATCTTAAACTGTTGTTTGGAAAGTTTTATTTATTTTATTTTTAAAGAGAGAGGGTCTTGCTATGTTGCACAGGGAGGCCTTGAATTCCTGGGCTGAGGTGATCGTCCTCCCTCCTCAAAGTCCTGAGCAGCTGGGCCCGCAGGCACAAAGCACCCCTTGGGTTGTGTGCTGGTTTGACAGAGGAGAGCACAGGCCTCAGGGTTGCTGTCTTGTTCTTTGGTCCTTGGTGTTTGTGTGTGCTAATTCAGTACTGTCAGATGCAGGATTTCAGGGACCAGTAACATTAAGAAAAGTGAGGACTAAACTGAAGCTTCATATTTGATAGAGCATCTTTAAACTACCATACTAAAAATTCTCGTTTTTTTTTTTTGTAGGGGAGGGGGCTTGGGGTGTATTTTTCATGTCCTTTTAGGCAGCCATGGGTCCCAGCTGGAGTTAAACATAGTCATTTTTCTTGCCGTGGCACTGGCTATCTGAACCTGCTTGTAAGTGGTTTGCTTCTAAGCGTGTGTTCCCATTTTGTGGAATATGAGATTTTCTTTTACTTTTTAAAAATTGAGAAGGGATCTCAGTCGGTTGCCCAGGCTGGAATGTAGTGGCATGATGACAGGTCACTGCAGTGTTGACTTCCCAGGCTCAAGCAATTGTCCCATGGCTTCCTGAGTAGCTTGGACCCACGGGTCGATGTCACTATGGCCGGCTAATTTTGATTAGAGATGGGATTTTGCTGCCCAGGCTGGTCTTGAACTCCTGGGCTTAAGCAATCCACCTACCTTGGCCACTCTGTGTGTTGGGATTGCAGGTGTTAGCCGCTGTGTCCGGCCTGTGAGTTTTTTGAGGAACTCAGATGGTGTCATATCAGAGTTCCAGTGCTTCTAATGTCATTCTTTTTGTTGTGGAGTATTAGTAGAGTTTGGAATGTAAGTGTGAAGACCTTCAGTGGAGAATGGCACACTAGCCCCAGGCCTTGCATCTGGGTGGTCCCTTGGATGGTGAATGAGCCTGTAGGGTGTTGGATAGCTCTTTTCTGGCACATCTACTTTCTGCCACTTGCCTAGGCCCTGGCACGTTTCTTTGTGTGCCACAGATGTAGTCCTCTAATTGGGTTTTTGTAGTAAGATGGTGCACTTGTATGGTTGGAATAATGTTGTACTTGGTTGTGTTATTTTTTTTTTTCCTTTTTTCTTTGTTTTTTAATTTTTTTAAAGATGGATTTCACCATGATGGCCAGGCTGGTCTTGAACTCCTGACCTCAGGTGATCCACCCATCTCGGCCTCCCAAAGTGCTAGGATTACAGGCGTGAGCCACTGTGCCTGGCAGTTGTATGATTTTAATGTAGCATGCCTGGGCTCTGTGGGCAGTAGAGTGAAAAGCTATCTAATGGAATAATTTTTTTTTTTTTTTTGAGACAGAATCTTGCTCTGTCACCCAGGCTGGAGTACAGTGGGGTGATCTTGGCTCATTGCAACTTTTGTCTCCTGGGCTTAAGCAATTCTCATGCCTCAGCCTTCTGAGTAGCTGGGATTATGGACACGTCACCATGCCTGGCTGATTTTTGTATTTTTAGAAGAGACGGGGTTTCACTGTGTTGGCCAGGCTGGTCTCAAGACTCCTGACCTAAGATGATCTGTCCCGCTTGGTCTCCCAGATTGCTGCAATTACAGGCATGAGCCACTGCTCCTGGCCGTAAATATTTAAATAACTTGTTTAAAAAATTCAACGAACTTAATTTTTTTTTTTGAATTGTTTTTCATGAGAGAGGTACAGAAAGTTTTCCCTCGTTTCCTTTTGTTTTAAAGAAAGGGGGGCCATACTCCTTACATTTAATTGCAAAACCTTGAAAACTGATTTACAACTTGGGAAATACTTCATTAAATTAGAGGTTTAAAAGGAACTTGGCCTTATTGACTTTTCTTTACATTTTTAGCTAAGAAACGGGACATCTATGACAAATACGGCAAAGAAGGATTAAATGGTGGTGGAGGAGGTATGTATGTACATGACTTTTTTCTTTGAAGACAAAAGGTCTTGGCAAGTTAGTTGAGTTTGTCTGTAAATAATGAGTCTTTTGGTAAGAGTCTTTTATATCAGTAGAGATGCAATCTAGAAAGTGGGCTGAATTGGGGAGAGGACAGAGAAATTGATAGCATTTTTAAATCTTTGTGAGACTAGCAGTATATGTGGGCCAGCAGGGGGGCCTTCCTGGTGGCAAACACATTCCAGGCACGTGGGGAAGCTGGGCTGACTGCAAAGCAGGAGGCCTGTGCTGTCCAGTGAGGCAGGAGGAGCCACAAGGTGCAGTCATGTCGGCCACAGTGTGCCCACCTATGTGGCCCGTGTGTAGCACAGACAGCCTCTCACTTCCTGTAGATAAGAAATAATGTACTTCCTGTAGATAGGAAATAATTTGTTACCATACTGCAATATATCTGCAATGATGTAAGGACAGACGCCCTTACATCAGTACTTGACATGATGTTAAAATATCCTGAGGGTTTAAAGAGCAGATTTTCCTGAAAAGCTAAAATAATGACCTTGTGGGGCCTGGACTTTTGTTTGTCTCTAAAAGTTTGCATGGTCTCTGGGCTGTGACCAGCCTCCCCAGGGGTCTTTGGGAAATTATTGCTCCAAACCTGGCTACACGGCAGCTTCTGCGGCTCCAGGAGGTCAGTTGTCAAAGTGGATGCAGGTACTCGTGGTCTTCATAAACCTTCATAACACTGGCCGGGCGCAGTGGCTCATGCCTGTAATCCCAGCACTTTGGGAGGCCAACGCGGGTGGATCACGAGGTCAAGAGATCGAGACCATCCTGATCAACATGGTGAAACCCCGTCTCTACTAAAAATACAAAAAATTAGCTGGGCGTGGTGGCGCGTGCCTGTAATCCCAGCTACTGAAGAGGCTGAGGCAGGAGAATTGCCTGAACCCAGGAGGCGGAGGTTGCGGTGAGCCGAGATGGCACCATTGCACTCCAGCCTGGGCAACAAGAACGAAACTCCATCTCAAAACAAAACAAAACAAACAAAAAAAAACTTCATAACAAATCATAGAAATGGTGTGTTACCTTATATGCCTATTTAGAGATGGCAAAGAGTAGTGTCGAAGGGGCCACCGCTGCACTCACTTGTCATCAGCTCTGAGCACACTCACTCTGTCAGTATAGGGCTCAGGTTTTGAACTTTGGAGAACCCCAACTTTATGAAATATTTTTGTTTTTTATTAGGTCGTGATTTGTATGATATTCTGTCAACAAAGAATTTTTTGCCTGCAAAACACCAAAATTCATAAAACTAAAAGCTGTATTGTATTTGCAGGTGGAAGTCATTTTGACAGTCCATTTGAATTTGGCTTCACATTCCGAAACCCACAGGATGTCTTCAGGGATTTTTTTGGTGGAAGGGACCCATTTTCATTTGACTTCTTCGGTAAGTTAATTGCGTGGGTAGACTTGATGTGTGTCCATGACCCAAGTGAGGGTTTAGTAGTGGCCTTTCAGTTGAATTTACATGGTATCTGTATTTAAAGCAGCAGTGGACTAGCCTGGGCAACATGGTGAAACCTCGTCTCTACAAAAAGAACACAAAACATTAGCTGAGTGTGGTGGCATGTGCCTGTGTTCCCAGCTCCTTGGGAGGCAGAGGTGGGAGGATCTCATGAGCCTGGGAGGTTGAGATTGGGCCACTGTACTTCAGCCTGGGTGACAGAGCAAGACCCTTTCTGAAGAAAATAAAGCAGCACAGGAGCTTTAAAATCTTTCTCTTATTCCTCTTTGAAAATGTTTTGAATTTACAACTTGAAAAATTAGAATAATACAGGGTTTAATGTACTTTTTATTTGTTATATATGGCCCTACTTAACTTGATTTTGTCCTCACATGAGACAGTGGTAAGGGCATTGGTGCTGACGTCTTGGAAATGTTGTTTACCATTGAATGCCAATTTGTGTGTGAATTTGCCACCTCATGTTCCTGTTAAAATCATTAAGCATCATAGTACTGTCTGCAAGACCTTTCCATCTGTAAACGTTGTGGTGTGTGAGGAGCGTCGAGTTCACAGTTTGCGGAAAGAAAGACACCTCTGGAGCGAGGCTGCGGAAGCCTTCACTGAGGAGAGTAGCTTTGTTAAGGGAGACAGTGCTGCTCAGCTGCTGTTTGATTGTAGGGAAATGGATTTCTCATCAGTGGCATCTCAGTCCTGATACCTGGTCCTGTGCTTCGGTGGGTGTCTTGGGCACAGTTTGGGTCAGGCACTTTCGTTGGCTGTCTGCTGTTAGAGCCTTCTCAACCACTGGGATGGGACTTTCTGTGTGGTGCACTTTGCAGCCGTTTTTGTCTTTTGACTCATTGAGAGGGAAACACATTGTGTGTTTATCTCCTTCATTGCCTGCATCATGGGTGAAGAAACTGAACACCCCTTGCAATCCCCAGGAGGGAAAGAGGAAAGCCTCTGTATCTACAGATAGTATACGGGAAACATGTGGGGCCCTGCCTGCTGCAGGCATGCAGAGGAATAATCACTTCTGTATCGGGTAGGTCTTGGGCCTTTTAGATGGTGCAGTTCTTCAGTTTATCTCAAATGGCGATTCAAAGAGGTTGTTCTTACGCCTTATTATGTATGGGCTGGTGGCTTGAAGGGAGACCCTTTCTGAGGGAGGAAAGACAGGCAGTGCCCTCAAGGATTTTCAGGGAGAGTGGAGCAACTGAAGCTAAGCAGGGGGTTTCAGATTAGGGGACCAGGAGACTGGTCTGCTCATCGTTGAAGCTCATTTGCTGTAATCACTGCTGCCATCAGCAGAGACAGCACGAGAAAGAGCCATCTTTCCTTCATCTACTGTCACAGGCGAGAAATCGCTAAGAAAAGTAACTTACAGATCGATCTCTGTCTTAAAAATGACCTTTGCATCTTGTTACAGCCTTCAGCAAACTGCATTTGTTGCTCTGCAGGACAGAGAACTGTTGAAGTCCTGTGTTCTGATCATGATTCTCAAGGTGATCAAGCAAGGAAGAAGGCTTGCTCTTCCGACTCCATGGTTTCTGTTCTAGGGCCCACCTGGTGAAACTGGCTGTCCTCTCGACAGCTGAGACCAGGCGCCTTCAACAGGCCTTTTCTTAACGTTATTATTTTTTACTTAAAAGGGGAAGGGTCTCTTAGTGACCGAATTGTAGCCAATTTTTGTTTTCTGTGGGGAAAATAATCTGATAACACCAAGCCATATAGCAATTCTTTGTAAAGTAGGTATAGAGATTTAGTTAGACTGAGTGAATATGTGAGTTTTTATCCTTGGTCCAAGGAGAGAGGTGCTAGTCTCACTGATACGCTGCACTGTTAAATAATGCACACTGACCTGTTTTAAGACTAGGTGCCCTGTGTTTCCCATGATGGGTGTGGCAGTGATACTTGTTTAATCTGTTCTTGTAGGTATTTTAGATGACTTCCATTTTCAGGCTCTCAGGATTTACACACAGGAGAAGCTGCTGTTCCCCGGCTACTGTATGTGTGAAGTCACTGTGCAGCCACCTGGCAGTATGTTTAGTGTAGATGGGCGTGGATGCCCACCCAGAGGGATTTCTGCCTAGTAATAATGTAGATCGGGGGTCAGCACCCTGGTTCCTCGCCTGTGAGGAGCAGGAGCAGGAGGTGAGCGGTGGGCAGGCGGGTAAGCCTTACTGCCTGAGCCCCATCTCCTGTCAGATCAGTGGCAGCACTGGAGTCTCAGAAGGGCACGAACCCTGGTGTGAAGGGCAGATGCGAGGGATCTAGGGTTGCGCATTCCTCATCAGAAACCAATGCCAGAAACCAACCGTCTATCAGTGCCACCTCACCCCACGCCCTTGTCTGTGGAAAAAAATTGTCTTCCATGAAACCAGTCCATTGTGCCAAAAAGATTTGGGACTGCTGTTGATGAATCATATTTGCTAGACCTAGTTGTGTCCACTTTGTGTAGCGGATTTTTCAGGTGACACAAAGTAGTTGAAAATCTGCTGTACGGTAATTTCCGAGCCGCGCTTTAAATTTATCAGAATACAGAACCCCTATTTACATAAGGGAGGCCTTACTTCAGCCCTCCCTAGTGATACGTGCGGAAGTGGGAGGGGGCCCGAGTGTTGGACACCTGGTATCGCGTCTGCCTGTGAGCACCAGGCAGTGCACACGGTCACATTGTGGCCAAGGGGAGTTGGCCCGGGGCCTGCAGGTGTGGAGCCCATCCTTTCTAGCAGAAACCCTCCCAGGAGAGGTGTGGAAGTGGATTCTAACACCAACCCGGAAGGAATGCCGCCTCTGAATTGGAGGGCGAGAGTCAAAAGTGTTGAGGCTAGGTGACTGGTTAAATTTCTCCAAAATACGGAGAACATGAAAATGAGCTCTTATTAAAATGTTAGTTGGAAAATTTAATAGACGGTAGGCCAATTTGCATTAGGGTAATTTGTTTGTTTATTTTGATGAACATAGTCCTCTCAATTTAGGGTAATTTATTACAGGACCCTGTTGTTCAGTTAAATGATGTCCTAAGATAGAAAAGAAAAGGTACGTGATAATAGTGTGTTTTGATCCCATTAGTCATAGTAGGCATTACCATCTGGGAAAAGCCTGTGGTTTTAATGTCATATTTTTATTTATATTCTTACCTAGAAAGCCAAAGCCAACCTTTAAGGTTTCCACAGAGGCCTTTCATTTGAGCAGTGCAGCGAGTTTTCCTTTTAAAGCATCACCCTGCTACAGTAGATGCTCTGTGGCAGTAGTGGAGGAATCCTGCAGGACATAGAACCAAGGGAAGCGGATGTTTCGGAGGAAGGACGAGTTCATTGAGGATAGTAACTTGGTCCTCCAACCTGTGATGAATTTACTCTCTCCCAAGGTTCGAGGAAGTGGCCAGTGAGCACTTGGAGCCTAGTGAAGAGTTAGTAGAGCTGCCCGAGATGGCGGAGGCTGCAGAGGACAGCCCCAGTGAGGAGAGCAGTGAGGCCTTGGCCGTGATACTCAGCGAGGACCTGGCAGTCTCTAGTGAGGATGAGTCCAGCACAGGATACAGCCGGGGCCTGGGCGAGCTCCTCAGCAAGGAGAGGAGCTCATATCCAGCGAGGACGGGGCCAGCCCTGGGGACACAGAGGAGCTCAGCGAGGAGTGTGAGGAGCTGCTGAGCGAGGAGGAGCACAGTGGGCCAGAGCTGGGAGCACTGCCAGCACCATGACAAAGTGTTAAGGAGCTCCCCGGGCTGGACTGACTTAGTGTATATCTAGAATAAAATAGTTTCCTAGTGCCTCGATGGTACTATCCTTGGCCAGACGACCTCAGCTACCTTGGAGAGAGAACTGAAGAAGCAAGAGAGGCAGGTGGCAGCCCTGAAGCACTGACCTGCGGCCTCCTAGGTTCTTGCCCTAAAGCCAGAGCACAGACATTGAAGGCAGCCTTTGGTCTCTGTGTTTGATCCGTGTGACAAACCGGGAGCTTAAACAACCAAAATGTATCATCTAGTCCTGGAGACTGGCCCTGTGAGACCCAGGTGTCGCAGCGCGGGTTGCTTCTGAGGATGACGGGTGTCCCGCTCCCGGCCCCTCCCCAGCTGTTCTCTTTCTGCATTTGCAGGTGGGTGGCCCATCCGGTCTCCACGTCATCTCCTCTGGGGCTGTCTCCCTGTGTCCATTGGTTCGGTGTTTCAGAGACGGGGTCTCACTGGGTTGCCAGGCTGGCCTCAAACCTCTGGGCTGAAGCAATCTTCCCTTCTCAGCTTCCCAAGGAACTGACTACAGGCATGAGCCACCATGCCCAGCCACAAATTCCCCCTTTTTTTCAAAAGGACATCATTTATATTGGATTAATTCCCACTTCAGTAATTTCATCTTAACTTGATAATCTACAAAGACTCTATTTCCAAGTACGGTCACAGTCACAGGTGCTAGGGATTAGGACTCTAATGTGTTTTTTGGGGGCCGTGATTCAACCTTTTATTTTTTGGGGTCCGTGATTCAACCTTTAAACATTTCTTTTTTTTTTTTTAAACAGTTTATTTATTATACTTTAAGTTCTGGGGCGCATGTGCAGATTGTGCAGGTTTGTTACATAGGTGTACACGTGCCGTGGTGGTGGTTTGCTGCATCCATCGTCCATCATCTACGTTAGGGATTTCTCCTCATGCTGTCTCTCCCCTGTCCTCCCACCAACCCCTGCTATTCCTCCCCTAGCCCTCTATGCCCCAGGCCCTGGTATGTGGTAAACATCGTATTTCTAACAGAGGGAGGTAGATTTTTGTGTTAGTCTGTGCAATTTACAACCAAACAGCAAATTTTGAAAGGTCAAAGGAGGAGGAAACTTTAGACTTTTTTTTTTCCCCCTGAAGTGGAGTTTCATGTCACCCAGGCTGGAGTGTCAAGGGGTGATCTCAGCTCATTGCAGCCTGTGCCTCCCAGGTTCAAGCAATTCTCTTGCTT